TCTGTTGAGATAGTGGCTGCATCCTGTTTAACCATATCTCAAGGCTGCAAGTCTGCTGTTTAGAGGATTGTTCAAACTTAACCTTGTACACACATGTGACCTCTCCCTGCTTGAGTGAATAAATCTAGCCGTCTCAAACTGAGAGATCAGAACACTTCTGGCAGCTGCTGAAGCAAGACGGTAGACCTTTCATGAGAGCTGTGTGTTCTCCCTCTGCAGCGGTGAATCTTACTTTGACTGTTTTTTTGACTCCAACATCAACTCAGAAGCAAACATCTTTTTCTCCAATCGCTCCGAACCTGTCTTGGTCTTTCAGGACCAACAATAACCCAAAAATACTTAAATACACACACACACACACACACACACACACACACACACACACACACACACACACACACATATATATATGTATATATATATATATATATATATATATATATATATATATATATATATGTTTCATTAAGAACATTTTTGTGTTACCAAAGGGGAGGTATTTTAATTAAAAAAACTTTCAACTTTACTTCTCTAAAGCCATTCAAACTTTTACAAGCTTATAAGAACAGGAACACCAACTTTAAAACACTGGAAGACAAACTCGTCAACATTTGTTTTGTCTCTTTGAAAATCCCAAAAACAATTAAAAAGAAAATGCTGGTTACAACCATTAAACTTTTTTGAGCTAAATTCCCACAGTCCTTTTATCTATCTATAGTAGTATAGATTAATGGTTACATCACTCACAACAGAACAGCAGACAAAAATAGACAACTTCCATTTTTCAAAAAAAAAAAGGACAAAAAAGAAAAAGAAAAAAAAACGTCACAGTTTGAACAAAAGAGATAAAAAGGCCAAAATCAACTTTTGTGCTGGGGTCTTGTTTGCCTAAGCAAGCATCTTCAATTTCATTTGCTGCATCTTTGTACTGAGCCTTTGTCCATCCAGATTCATTAAAATCTTCTGAAAAAACTCGAAAGTGTACTTGAGGTCATTTGGATAGCTCAGATCGAGTGCATAAATCAGTCCAAAGAGGACGATGAATGCCATGATGACACTACCGAGGTTGTTCATAACTGTAGTACCTTCAATGACAACTCCAACATCCTCTGGCTCCTGAACACCTTCTCTTCGGATGGTGTAAATACCCATGACAGTTGCTGCAGTGGATCTCAACCGTTCATCCTCAGTGGAGGAGGTCTGAAAAACACGATGTTTCAGGTTTAAGGGCTCTGTCACTTGGAAGGGGACATATTATGCAAAACTCAGCTTTGTATCCTTTTGTGCTGAAACATGGGTCTCTACTGCCTCTATAAACACTCCAAACATGAATAAAACCCATCAACCTGTTTTCTATCAATAGTTTGGGTTTAGGTATTATGTACCTCCCCTTGGGAAGGGCTTGAAATAGAGCAGCAGCTCCTTAAGTGTCTATAGGCGTAGGTGTGTGTGTGTGGGCTGGGTCAATTTCCCCTATTTCATGACAAGTGGGAACCTTTTGAAACAGCTTGTTTTAGGCGCATTATTCTGGAAACCAGAAGATTGCTGTAACGCCAGTGACACTAGTCATTGTCTCGATGCAATCTGCTGGGTTCCTTATATAGAAGACTTTTTACTAATTGGCATAATTAACTGAACTTCATTGGAGTGTTTACTTTATTAAGTGCCTTGAGATGACTGTTTTTGTGATATACCGCTATATAAATAAACTGAATTTAAACACTGACAGAAAATGGATGAATGTTTTCTTCACATTTCCCGTGTTTATAGAGGCAGTAGACATGGCAGCACCAAAAAAATTAACAATTGAATTTTTGCTGAATCTGTCCCCTTAAAAGGTGCTCTCCAGTACATGTTTCAACAAAGACTATTAAGAATAATACATATTTCACAATTATGTTGTCTTGTTTGAATATATGAGCATTTTGCGTGCGATGAACCTAACTCAAATTGAAGCTATAAAATAAAGTGTGGTAAGCATACCAGATACTCCTTGAACAGTAGGTCTGGATCTTCATTAAAGTAGATCACCAGGCTTTTAAGAGTATGCTCCCTCTTTATGTCGATGTCATCACACTAATGCAAGGGTGAAAAAAAAGTAATTGATTGATTGCATTTAATTGATGGGTTTATCATTAGTACTGACCAAACTACTGATCGCCATGATATCCTTGATCTTTTGGCCCTTTGCTCCTTTGCTCCCCTCAAAAATTTTCATCAGCTTGTCTGTTAAATTATCCAGCTGAGCCAAGAACTTTGCCTGCAGGGGTTTTGTAGTGATCTGCAGGAACTCTGCATTCACCTGGAAATAAAACATGCATAAACTTCTTGTTTACTAAATTTAAATACAGACTGCTGAATCAACAAACTGAAAGTTGCTAAACATTTGTTCAGTGAAGTTTGTCAAGACCTAAACTGATTGCAGCAGAGTTTTAAGTTTGACATGTGTCCTTTTTCATGACAACAGCATTCAAAGTTAATTTAACCTTTTCTTACAATACTGTTATAGGGGTTTTCCCAACAGCACTACTCAGCATGACTCAGATGGTTGTGGTTTGGTTAGACAGCCTTTTCCAACCGCACGATTTGCTATTTTCCCCAAAATTTTTAGTACCTGCTTCATTGTGGTTCATGTTGAACATCACCCCCATTATTGTGCTGTAGTGCTCCTAAATTATACTTCACACTGTTGACTGTTTACCTATTGTTACTTCTGTCTCCAATAAAGATAATGACTGCAACTAATGTCACTTAACTAGTGTTTTTTTTCTTCACAGATTTGTCAGGGAAAACCAACTATACTGATGTGAGCTGTGTTAACCCACACTGTACTGAGCTGTTTTGGCTGAGTAGTGCTGCTGGAAAAAGGGCTTCAAGTCACCACCCTTACCACTAGGACCACTACGTTTTTCACTAAACTTTAGTTTAAATTTATTATAATTTGGCTAAAATACAGACAAAAGGTTTTTTTGCTCAAATCTTCAGTCCATCTACAGAAAAATATTCAGTAATATAGTTATATAGGGTAAAGGGACATAATTGACCTCGGCCTTTCTTGGTTTTTTGATGTTGGCAACAGTATTTCCTTGGCCTTCCCGTTTGTGCTTTAAGGAATTCACACGGATTTCAGGATCACCAAGCCGCCCAAGCTTTGTTCGATAGTTTTGCATTTTGTACTTCAGAGATTGTTTCCATCCCCAAAATCCTGTCTTAGATCCTAGCTGCCCTAAACAAGGATGGGTCCTTGTCAGTGCTGCTGCCACCTCTTCACATTGATAGTCTTTAGGATATTTTGTGTATTTCAGCATTTCTTGAGCTAATCCAACAAGGATGACTCCCTTCAGTTTTATGCCAGGCTTGAAGAGTGTGCCATTTGCTTCATATTCTGCATTTTTCTGCTGGAGTTCCAATTCCACGTCATATGTGAATTTAGGGACCACAAACACATTGGGCCAGGAAAACTGCCTTGTCGGTTGAACATCTGGTGATGAATGAGGGGTTGATGTGCATAGGGGTATCATCACTGCAGGATGAAACTAAAGAAGACCCAGGGCTGGAAGTTCCTTGGCAAGTGTAAACACTGCTGTTTGTGGACGTCTCAACTGGGTACAAAGTGATGAATTGTTCCTCAAGTGTGGGTTTAGGATTGTATATCACTTTCAGTGTGCCTTTATCTTTTACATCAGACACTGAAGTTAAGTTCATAAATGCATTAAAGTCTTCATCCATGTACTGCAAACGGAAGTCTTCTTTCAAATCGAAGAATGTCTTTACCAACATATGGAGTTCTGATAATGTTGCTGGAATTCCAGAGTCCAGATGCATTTTCCTGGAGTCTGACACATCCCCAAAGATGATTCTGAGAACAGGGCTTGCCATTATGGGACAACCTTTACTCTGGAACGGAAAAAGCACAGCCAAATGATGGCATATTTAATCAACATAAATACAGCTCTAGAGGGATTTTTATTCCAGTTAGGTTTATCAACATCATGCTCTGAAATCACATACATTTCTAAAATCTTTGTATGATTCATCTGGTATGCTAACCCAGCAGTGTTATTTTTATTAACTTTTCAGTGTCACCTAAGAAAGTGTGCTGCTGGGTCTCCCAGAGCTGAAAGAAGCTTCCAGGACGACAATGGAGAGTCTGGCTGTTTCATGCCGGACACAACTATAAGCAAAACCTTCAAAGAGTTTGCTTTCCAGAGCTTATTGTCAGGCATCCTCCAGCAGAGGGGTTGTTCTTTTTAAGAATCTTTACAATCTAAATTTAAGAAATCTTAAAAGCTATGTTATTGAAGAAAACTTACCCTTCACGATGACGAATCTCTTTAACATCACCAAGCATAGTCCCTCCACAATGTAGTCCGCAAGGGGATATGGGTCTTCCAAGTCACCAAGCTCAATTATGGCCAGCTCTCTAGTGGATGGGGTAGACGGCTCAAATCCACCATAATGCTCCCTGTACCAAGAACATAGTTCCCTAACTATGAAACACAGTTTCTTCTCAACTATGCACAGCTGAATTATCTCATTAAATTTTGGCAGCCCATTTACAGTTCCGTGAACAATAAGCATGCCTTGACTGTAATGCATACCATTGCAGGATACCTTCTTCAACAGAGCAACTTCAGAAATAGATGGGTATCTTTCCATCAAAGCAGACACTACTCTGTCATTAAGAACCTCAACGGGCATAACAGAGGCATTTCTAACTTCCAAGGATGACTTCTTGCAATTAGAGCAATGTGTCTGATGGCCAATCATGAACTGATGTTTAACAGCTAATGAGAAAGGTATGTTTTTGAAGCAGTTTGTATGTCGTGCAACCTGCTTGAAAAAACTATGCTTTGCCTCGAATCGCATGGTCCATAGAGAAATGAGAGGTCCAAAGCATTTCATCATTTGTGGATAGTGCTCCAAATAATGATGCTTTGGCAACAGATTTACATGTGGAAAGAGATCAAGATAGAGCTGCCTATGATCATAGATCTTGGCCTCAAGATAAGCTATGGTTTCATCTGTGTGGACATGGGCAACAACCAACTCAACTATATCTTTAAGATGTAGAATTACCTGCCATGCTGGCTCATCAACTGGCAAAAGTGGCCCTATGATTAAAGGAAGCAACCTCAGCAAGGACCAATTTTCATGAGCATTGCCCCCTATTGTGTTTTTTGAAGAATAACTATGTGGTATGGCATGAGGTCGATTTGTTTTGTCACCAAATTTGTATGGAATTTTCTGGATCAAGGTGTTAAGTTTGTCAAGTGTGAAGTATTTTTTGGTGATTAATAAGCTAATACCGTGGGAACAATACCTTCAAAGATATCGTGGACAATATCTGGGGGATATCCAGTGCTGACATGAAAATGTGAGATATTCTCTGTCAACATACACTGTTTTTTTACACCACAAACAGCAGTTGCCTTTTCTTGAGCACAGCGGACATGAATTTTATGGACCTCTCTGGTTCGAAGTTGGAAAATCCCTGACATTACATCCTGATTCTGAAATTCTAATTTGTCTCCAGTACAAAACCTACAAATGGATCCACCAGAAAAACTTTCAACAAATCCACCAATACCATGAGCTGAAAGATTGTCTGCTATTACACACTGGACAGAGCCTTTTACAAATTTACCAAGCTGAGACACAAAGGCACCATGCTTTTCTAAAATGGCCAAGTCTTGAATGAGAGGCTCCAATACTTTCACGAAACCAAAAGCTTTTGTGTCATCTGACTTGCAAAGTACAGCTAAATAAATTGAAGTTAGTGCTGAATGGGAACCTGGTGGTAAATTACCCAAAACCCAATAGACACCACAGAGTTTATGCTTTTTACGAGATGTCCCAAGCGGGTTACATATCTCAAAATCATCAATATAAAGATTTACAGCAATTCTTAACTCTTCACCACAGAAAAAACTGTTCTGCTTGTAGTACTCACCATCTCTAACTGTTCTGTATTTTTTAGAAGTCAATTGCGTGTTTTGACCCTTCTGGGCTACAAGAAGTTCAAGAACATCTTTCTGAGAAAGCAACTGCTGCAGAGATCGTAATAAAGGAATGTACTGATAGGTCCGATTCCTCTGAGCATCTAGTATGTACTCTATTGACTCTATAATACCAAAATGTGAACAGTAATACTGTTTACTTTTATATGCAGTAGCAAGAGGGCCGTCACATGCAATGGCTACGCAAACAGGACTAGATCTGCAAACAATAGAGGAAATCTCATCAATTAAAGACTCTTCAATTTGTAGCTGATTATTTTTGAAATACACCAGAAATAACTGTTTTTGTGGCATGTAAAGATGCCGTACTCAATAAGTAATCGAGTTCAGACAACAGTTCATCAACAACTGTTGTTGGGACATGGATGACATTTTCTAACGTCAGTAAAAGGCAAGCAATTCTTTCTTCAAAGTAATCTGAAGTAACTAATTCTACCGGTTCATGACAATCTACTTTTTCTTGAAGAGTATCTGTTGTCCCAGCCTTAAACAAATCATCTTCAGAACTCCCTGACTGAATCAAATGATTACGTATACAAGTATTATCTCTAAAATCATGAAGGGAGTATTTGTTGTGTTTTCTGTATTTGTGTGTCTGAAATGTACTGTATATATTAGTTTCAAATTCACAATTTTTAAACAAACATTGGACAGTTTGGTGACGCCTGAGATGTGTATTTATGTGTTGGAAAAAAATTCTCTCTGAAATATATTCTCTGCGTGAGCAAATATGACACTGAAAAATAGATTGTTCTGATTTGTTTTGTGTTCTATTTCGTCTAGTCTTAGCCCTTAAGCGAGCTGCTATTGGAAGGGTGATCTCAGCATCAGCCAATCATGAAGAGCTTAAATGTACGCCCACCATGTGGGCACCCCTTGTGGGTTATATAAGTGGAACGACCCCACTGTTCGGCTCCGTTTTCTCTTCACGCCAAGCTTAAGAGCTTCCTTTAAGAGCAATTGTACAAGAAAAATCTACTCACCAACCATGTCCAGCGACGCCAGGACCTGCCCGGCCTGCCAGACAGGCTCCATCTCCAGCGGCGACTTGCACGCCAAGTGTAAGGTCTGTCTCGGGGCTCACCACGCTGGCCTGGCCTTGACCCCCAGGCCTCGTGCCCGTTTTGTACCGCTCTGCCCGTGGCTGAAAAGGTCTGCCGGGTCGAGTACTTCACCCCCACCACTGACGAGGAAATTCCGGTGGCTGGCACGTACTCGCTGGACAAGGCGTTACAGTTCTTCAACGTCGGCCAGGAGCCGGCTGGCTCCTACCAACTGGACAATGTCATCGACAGCGAGGAGTACGACGAAGCTGGCTGCCATAGCCCTTCTTCCCTCCTGTGCAACACGGAGGTCGACGAGCCTCGCTGCCATAGCCCTTTTCCCTCCTGTACAACATGGAGGTCGACCGCGAGGCTGGCTGCCATAGCCCTTCTTCCCTCCTGTGCAACACGGAGGTCGACCGCGAGGCTGACTGCCATAGCCCTTCTTCCCTCCTGTACAACACGGAGGTCGACGAGCCTCACGAGAAGCACGACGAGGCTGGCTGCCATAGCCCTTTTTCCCTCCTGTGCAACACGGAGATCGACCACGAGGCTGGCTGCCATAGCCCTTCTTCCCTCCTGTACAACACGGAGGTGGACGAGCCTCGGGAGGAGCACGACGAGGCTGGCTGCCGTAGCCCCCTTTCCCTCCTGTACAACACGGAGGTCGACGAGCCTCGCTCAGCGGGTCCTTCTGCCCCAGTGGCTTCTCGCTTCTCCCTGCCAGCAGTTAGAGCACTGCTCCAGGAGCTGCCCGCCATCATCTCCGCGGCCCGCCATCATCTCTGCGGCTACGGCCCGCAAGGGGCTAGCCGTTCCAGAACCGGCTCCGCCTGAGGCAGATGAATTGGCGGGAATTTTCGGGGCAACACAGACGCGCTGTCCAGACCCCGTCTGGGCACGCTTCCCCGCTGCCATGAGCTGCTGGTCCGCCGCCTTCTCTGAGCCTGCCGGGTTCAAGGCGCCAATTTCCACATATGTGCCCATTACCAAGGTCGAGGGCTTCTCCGACCTCCGTTCCCCCACTGGAGCCAGACTTGGCCTCGCTGTGTGGCGTCAAGAACCACCTCGCTGGACCGCGAGCAGTTCCCGCTTCTAAGCATGACCAGCTGCTGAGGCGGCTCGCCGATCGCGCACACCAGTGCGCCTTCCAGACCGGCGCTGCAGGAAATAACATCGCCTTCTCGCCTTTGGTGTTTCCAAAATGGTGGAGGAGCTTGACGCTCCTGTCGAGTCAGAAACCATCATTACTAAAACTGCTGATGCCATCCTCAATCTGTGCGTGGCGCCCAGCTGCACGGCCCGCCCCGCGGAGCCGGCCTCGCGCTGAGGCGGGACCAGGGAGTTGGCGGCCAACGGTTCTGAATGAGCCAGCAGACACAGCCTTGGCAGTCTCAGTCACAGGAATCTCGCCGAAAACGACCACGAAAACGACTCGTTGGGGGGAATGTGTGTGCTTATGACTGTAATGTTAACTTTGTGAATGATTTTGGTTTAAAAATAAAACCCAAAAAACGTCACATCGAGAGCACAGTCTTACAGTCCTCTGCAGAACCCTCTGCTGGTTTTGGTGGCAATTTGGGCCGGTGAGGTCTTAGCTCATAGGGAACTCTAATCACCGGCGTTAAAAGTGAGACGGTACTAAGGACCGTTGTGGTAACTTCCGCTTCTACCTTTTCAGGTGGGAAGTTCTTACCTCTGCATCCACAAGGGTGTACTGTATTTCT